GAACACCCCAGCCCGGAGTCAGGAATCATGTGCATACTTTTTTGCTTTAAGGAATTCCCCAAGATTCACTTTTCTACTGCTTTCTTATACAATTAGAACTTGGGCAGGCAGGAGCTCTCCTGGGTCTCCAACTTTCTTGATTCACCTTCTAGTATCACCCATTTGGATTTAGCAGTTTAGCTTTAGAACATGTAACCTTGGCACTGCTAGCATGGAAATTCAAGGGGCCAGTGCTTCTGGTTATTGCCTTACAACTCCATACCCCAAATCTTCATAGCCCAAATCTGGGCACTTAGGACCCCGCTAAGTGTAGCATCTGGGAAGGGACAGTAGATGCTCATGTCCTGATGTTCCCAAATCCGGAAAATCTACCTTCAAAAACATCCAAAATCTCTCACTGGAAGTTTCCTTTCCATTTTCACTGCCACCAGCAGATTTCCACCACCTTTTGCATCTTTTAAAATAATTTTTTTGGGAACTTTCCAGAACACTCAGTGAGAAGCTGAGGAGCAGCGGCTGCCCCAGCTGCGCACAGCTACGCACACCTTCCCGCTCCCCCACACCAACTTTAGCCTGCTCACCAGCTGTAGAAAATGGTGAAAGAAATGACTTACTATGATGTTCTGGGGGTCAAACCCAATGCTACCCAGGAAGAACTGAAGAAGGCTTACAGGAAACTGACCGTGAAGTACCACCCTGATAAGAATCCAAATGAAGGCGAGTTTAAACGGATTTCTCAAGCTTATGAAGTTCTCTCTGATGTGAAGAAAAGGGAATTACATGACAAAGGAGGAGAGCAGGCAATTAAAGAGGGTGGAGCAGGTAGTGGTTTTGGCTCCCCAATGGACATCTTTGATATGTTTTTTGGAGGAGGAGGAAGGATGCAGAGAGAAAGAAGAGGTTAAAATGTTGTACATCAGCTGTTGGTAACCTTAGATTTATATAATGGTGCAGCAAGAAGACTGGCCCTGGAAAAGAATGATTTGTGACAAATGTGAAGGCCGAGGTGGTAAGAAAGGAGCAGTAGAGTGCCGTCCCAATTGCCGAGGTAGTGGAATGCAAATAAGAATTCATCGGATAGGACCTGGAATGGTGCAGCAAATTCAGTCTATGCGTGGAGTGCCAAGGCCATGGAGAGCGGATCAGTCCTAAAGATAGATGTAAAAGTTGCAATGGAAGCAAGATAGTTTGAGAGAAAAAGATTCTAGAAGTTCATATTGACCAAGGCATGAAAGATGGCCAGAAGATAACATTCCATGGTGAAGGAGACCAAGAACCAGGACTGGAGCCAGGAGACATTATCATCATACTAGATCAGAAAGATCATGCTATTTTTACTCGGCGAGGAGATCTTTCCATGTGTATAGACATATAGTTGGTTGAAGCAGTGTGTGGCTTCCAGAAGCCAATTTCCACTCTTGACAACCAAACCATAGTCATCACCTCTCATCCAGGTCATGGAGATATCAAGTGTGTATTAAATGAAGGCATGCCAATTTATCGTAGACCATATGAAAAGGGTCACCTAATCATTGAATTTAAGGTAAACTTTCCTGAGAATGGCTTTCTGTGTCCTGATAAACTCTCTTTGCTGGAAAAACTTCTGCTTGAAAGGAAGGAAGTAGAAGAGACCGATGGAATGGACCAGGTAGAACTGGTGGACTTTGATGCAAATCAGGAAAGACAGTGCCATTACAATGGAGATGCATATGAGGATGATCAACATCATCCCCGAGGTGGTGTTCAGTGTCAGACCTCTTAATGGGGCCAGTAAATAAAACTGCCAGCATTTTATATGCAGTAGTGAATGACTGTAATCATAATATGCTCACTACTTGCTATTGTTTTTGTTTTAATATTCATCTATATTAGTGTTTTAAAAAGTTAAATGAAGAATAAATGCAAATATAAAAGCTGACTTTGCCCTGTATGTATGATGACTTCAGTGTGCAAGATAGTTTTAATAGCTGTGAAAACTACAAAGTTCCCCTAGCATTTGTTAGGCCATTCCTTGTAATTGATTTCAGCTATGTACATGGA